TATGTAAGGGACTGAGTTTCCAAATGAAGGAGAGTATGAATGCCAATAGTCATTCCACCAAGAGAAATGTAAGGGACTGAGTTTCCAAATGAAGGAGAGTATGAATCAAATAGATGAGAGAAACTTGGCATACAATCAGAAGCTCTAAAATCTATGATCCACATAAATGAGTTACTACAAGAGAAATCCAAGAATAAGAACCTGTCTGTGCCAAGAACACAGAAAATTATTAGAAGAAAAAATGGTCATAATAGTTTCAAGAGTTAATTAACTTGGTCCTTAGCAAATAGATGTGAGTCATAAAAACTGGTAGTGAACAGCCATTGAATGCTCTGGCTGGCAGCAAACAACATTTGAATCATTTCAACAGTTATGCCTTAGCAAACAAACTAGTTGAACATGCAAATGAACTTGAACATAAAAACAAACTTGCTGGAGAAATGACAAGACCATGACAAAAACAAATGAGCAACAACCAGCATAGGGCGAGATAGACTAGACTTGAACAGACAACCAAACTTGGATTCATAAACAATTTTTGTGAAAGTCACATTGATATGATTTACCTCCATATTTACTTGAAAAGATGATCAATGATCAAGAAGAAATTAAAATTTGTTCCTATCTTCAAGATTTTGAATTCTCCACAATCTAATTGATCAAACTAGATTGATAATTCTAAAAACATACATTCTACACACAAGAATACAAAGATAGCATAAAGCTTGAGAGTGGTTAAAACTCTATGAGAAACCCCAAACCTTCAAATGCCCACTAAAAGAAGTTAGTGGCCATTATTGGCAAGTTCTTCCCACTATCTTTTAAATGCTTTACTAAAAGAAGATATGGCCAACAAGTTTGGTAACTCCCCCCTTTAAGTGCCCACTCCAAGAAGTTATGAACTTAAAACAATAAATAAAATCTCAAAAGAAATTATCAATCAAGTGCTATTTGTGACAAAAATATAATACCAGCTATTGTCATGTTAAAAAACTTGGAGATCTGACAATTTGAGCAGTTTTCAGCTGAATGATGGAGCCATATATCAAGCAACTGAAAGCCATGAACCAAAATTGCCTGCAAAAGTTTCCATACACCAAAGGATGAAATGTAAAAAATAATTATGAGCAGATCAACTGAAAGGCCAATAAGTACACAAATAGAAACTATCATCCTGAAAATTTCCAAGAAATTTACCTGTAATGTCTCAAAAGCAATGCTTAAAGGCTCAAAAAACAACAAGAGAAACAGAGGTAAACCCAGTGTTCGATATATCATCAGACAAAATCTTATCCTGCAGAAACAAGGAAAAGATAGGGGCATATCCTCAGTTACTCGATAATAAAAACTTCAAGTGCATGCCAAAATTAATAAATACCTGTTGTTTCACTTTTAAAATTATTTTTTCTATGAAACGGAGTGTTCATTAAGAAAAATGAAAGAATGTCTAGATATACAAAAAAAAAAAAAAAAAAAAAAAAAAAAAAAAAAAAAAAAAAAAAAAAAAAAAAAAA